AATCAAAATATCAATGTCGTAACTTTTAGTATATTCCGGACACTTGAAGTACTGATTTCCAAAATATTCTCCCTAAACCTAAACCTTTTTGAGCCTGTTTGCACTTTTCGTACAATTTTTGTACGAAGTTACAAAAACGTTTTATGTCGCCCTTTCACACACACACCAGGGAACCTCATATCTATTTTAAGAATCCTAGCTCAACTCCTTCGCAGTTAATTCCATTGGCACCTTTTAGTATTTGTTGGCGCATTTGGGTACTTAGGTGCTAAACACCTACTACTTTTAAACATTAAGTACTTTTTAGTACACATTTCCATAAATACGAGAAGTGACCTTCATCCTATCATTGCTAATTGTACTCCCTTTCATTTACTCTATTTTGCTATGATTCTAGTATATTATTCGCAAAATAATTTTACTTCACCAACAAAATAAAATAAGGAATTGCAGTATTTTATCTATAGCAGAAAATGGTCCAATTTTTTGTACGAATCTTATATGAGGTAACGCCTCTCTGTAGATATATATGCAAAATTTTAAGATTCTATCAAATCACGTGTTTTGGTACTTGTTAGTACCAAAATCTCGCTTTTTGGTACTCTTTAGTACATTTTTCGTATCACAAGTGAAGTACATGCTTAAGAAGGTTTGAAGGCTCAAAAAGCACAGTTTCAGTACCTTTTAGTACGAACTTCCAAATACCCCGCCTTATCGCCCACCTAACAACCAACAAATAACTACATGCTTGTCCATACATTTCAGTTTATTTATTAATTGTGTAAGTAGCCTAAAAATCTGTAACATGTCTGAAGTGTATCCTATCCCTTTATTGGGCCGCCATGTTATGTTACCATAATGTCTGCAAATCATTCCTTCTATTCTCTCTAGAAATAATCATACATACTCACTTATACATACATATTTAACTATACTGTGAACAATATTCTCTTTTGATACCCCACCATAAATTATCCTTGTGTGTGCGTAGTTGCTAAACTTTCGTTCGAAAATAATTTCCTTTGCCGCGGCAAAGCCATTAACTTGATTGTTGTTGAGGAGTTTTTATGTTGCCGTTGTTGTTGTTGTTTGTATTTAACGTCTCCTCGTCACTGCTACTGTTGTTGTTATTGTTGTCGTTGCTGTTCATGGTGTATTCGTGCCAGTTGTATAGTTGATCCTGCGGTTCCTTTAATTGTTTACGACTTTGTCATTGGTCTGGTTGTCTTATCCTTCTGTGTTTGCTCCGTCCCCACCTCCCTCAAACCAAAAGTTCATTGACACACAAATCGTGAAACGAATTGGGAATAATTTATATTTTTCTATTTTGTTGAATATGAATAATTTAGATAAATTGGTTTTTCTAACTGTTTTTTCATATATTTATTGCCTCATTTTGGTGGACGATTAGGCTCAAGGATAGATGTTTGTTAAATGACTTTGAAATGCAATGTAAACTTGACTTTTTGATTTGAGTTTTATTGGTTTTTATTTTATTTATCACTGGGGATAATCGGTATTAATTTAATTCGAAGAAGTTGGGGTAAAACGTGATATTGAATTTATGAAAGACTTGTTTTGAATAATCTATTAAATCAGATAAGACAATTCGTTTTGGAAATTTTAAATACAAAACAATATGAACTGTCATATTTTGAGTAATGAGTTAGGTTTTTGAAAAAAAGAAATATTGACAATGTTTTTTTTTATTTGTATATTTTCTAGAAATACACATTTATTCATATCGTGTGTGTGGGAGCGTATGATTGATGACGTAACTAATACGTCCCGTTGTTCAATAAATTTAAAGAAGAAATTGTACAATGTGAATGCGGACGGTGTCATGGGACAAAAACAAAGCCTTGGGACCAATTTGAAGATTGATGTATGGAAAAATGATCTTAGGAGAAACATATTTTTTGAATGACTTTGAAGATGTTAAAACAAATTTGTAAAATTAAGAAATTATATTTTAAAATAAGTTTAGATTTGTTCGAATCGGTCACCTTTGGCACGAATTATGGGCTTCAAACGGCCAATGAAACCTTCACACGCTTCCGAATTTTTTTCTGCGGTATTTTGGCCCATTCCCGGCGAAGCACTTGCTTGAGGTGATCGACAATTTGGCATTTTTTAGTGTCTTGCTTGCTTTCCAAAATACTCCAGACACAATAGTACAACGGATTGGTATCCGAAAATTTTGGTGGCCATTGTGCGCTGGAAATAAAGCAAGGAACCACATTTTGAAACCATTCTTGGGTGACCCGTGCTGAGTGCGATGGTGCTCGGACCTGTTGGAATGTTCAAGGTCTGCGGTAAAATGTTTGCGTGCCCAAGGCTTTAATACACCCTCCAGAATATTTTAGCGATAATATTCGGCATTTATTCTGATGCCACGGTTGATTAATAGGAGCGGAGAGCGGCCATTGGCTGTTATAGCCTGCGCTTGAGTTCTGGTGGCCAACCGAAGGTGCACATTTTCAACTGACCTCTTTGGCAAGTAAACACGATCATTTTGTTTGTTTACAAACAGCTGGACTACGAATGTTTTCTCATCGGAGAATTCGGCAGTTCGCCACTATCGGCCAAGCGAAGCAACTCTGTACTATAATTGTGCGAAAGGTACTAAATAGTACTATATTTGGTATTAATTGAAGAGATAGAACTGGAATGCCGACATTTGAAATTGAGATCTGTGTTGGTATTTGGAATTGAGGTATGGGTATAGTTTTGGAAATGTGTACTACATATGCATTACAAGTACTAAATAGTCCTATATTTGGTGCTGGGTAGATATTGCTTACAGTTTGAAATTTTGTCCATGTGTAGCCTTGACACATGGAAATAAGTACTACAAGTGCACAAAGAGTACCAAATGGTACTAAATTTGATCTTGGTTGATGGAAAAGAGATAAACTTCTGAAATTGACGTGGTATGGCAATGTGTTCCATATTTGTACTAAAAGTACTTAATTGACCTAAATTTGGTATTGGGTGAAGGGATGGGACTAGAATCCCTAAATTACATACAGGGTGAAATGAAAAAACTTCAAACAACTTCAGACTGCTGTCATTTCCAAGCCACTCGTGCGAAAGCTGTTTCTCGTACCATCGCTCTTTACCGTGATACTGGTAGCGTAGCCCGACGTCAATGAAGTGGAAGGAAGAAAACAGCAACATCAGCAGATATGGTTCGAAAAATAAAGAAGCGACCCGCGTCGCAGTGACGAAAATGGCTCGTGAGCTGAACATATCGCAATATCCCATTCGGAAAATATTAAAAAATGAGCTCGGGGTAAAGCAAATGAAATTCCAAAAAGTCCAAGAACTTACACCGCCACAGAAAGAAAATCGACTCAAAAGAGCTAAAGAGTTGATGCGCTTGGCCGAAAGTGGTGAACTGTCGAGTTTGGTTTTCTCCGATGAGAAAACAAACATTTAGGTCGCAGACCTTGGACATTCCAACAGGACTCAGCACAATCGCACTCAGCACGCGCCTTTCCATCTGTCTGTTGTAATCACGCTATCTTTTGATAGAATTGAGATAGAAGGCTAAAAATTTACATACTTGCATAGTTTACCAGTAGGTAGGTAATGTTCGTAAATAGGGCATGTCTGTCCAAGTTTTCGTGTAGCCCCTTTTAATGGTACTTCCCGATAGTCGGTATTTTGATGATTTCAACAACATTATTTACCGGAATCGTTCAAAATTTCGTATTGGAAGATCTTAATGTCTTAAAATGAATTTCGTATTTATAGGTCGCAATGGGTACTACAACCTATGACAAAAGAAATTGGCATGCAGGTTCACGTTTTCGTATATCCTTAAAATAACGGTACCTCCCGATATTCGATATTTTAATGATTATAGCGACATTATTCATTGGAACTGTTTCAAATTTTGAATTAGAAGTTCGTGATGGGTACTGCAGCATATGATATGACTATAATTTCGAGTTCCTTCCACATGGTGGAGGGTATTAAAAGTTCGGCCCGGCCGAACTTAGCTGCTTTTTACTTGATTTTATCTTACCCTGCATATTTATACTTTGTTGACTCTGACATGAGTATTTCGAGGAGTTACAAACGCACTGACAAAGTTAATATGAAGGGTATAAAAATTTGTATTTTTAAAAGTCGAAAATGGACCATGTTTGGGATATTAAGATCCACACACTACAGTATACCCTATACTCTTGCTTTCCCAAAGTGGTGCCATATGTGTTGATATCTCTTTTTGTTCCGAATGTATTGATTTTAAAATAGAAATCCGGCTACTTACAAAAGCTATAAAGTTTAGAAAAACTGTGGATTGCGCAGCCGGTGTTGGACATACCCCAGAGGAGAAAATATCAAACCTGAAATCACATCTTGATCGAAAAATAATTTTGTTTAAACACCTAAAAAGGGAATTGAGTCATTTTAAAATGAACTTTTTTATAAGTAACGTCACTTACATAAATCTGGACACTGAAAAAAAAATGTGTCTTATTAATTACTCCTATTGTTCTACAAATATATAATGATCTTCCCATAAAGTATCCCAAATTACATGCATAAATATGTACATATACAATCAAAATTATTTGGAAAACACCTTGTTCAAAAAAAATCAATTCAATCATCCAATAGACTTGAACGTTCGGACATGTATGTAGGCAGATCATGTTGTTGTTGATGATGATGATGGTGGTGGGCCTTCATGCAAATGATATCATACATTTTTGGTGTATAGAACGGATTAGATTGAAACCAGTTTTAAGAAATGCCTGACAGTTGTATTCAGCTGTGGACAACGCGAAATCCCACACTTCCTCCTAATCACTTGACTTTATTATTGTTCTCATTTCAAAATAAGTTTTGAGTTTTTTTCTTTTATTTGGGGAAGGGGTGTTAAAACTATTTTGTAATTCAGGGACATTTAATTTTTTGTTTTGAAAACCACCCTCGCAACTTTATAACCCCCAGTGGACAGTTGAGGTCTGTAATTACATACTTACGTTTTAAATGGCGTCTAGTAAGTGTCCAGCAAACGTGTTTTAAAAAGTATCCTTGGTGGCTTGCTTGCCTGCCTGTCTGGCTCTTGGTCGAGAGTTGCTGGGGGGTGGGGGGTAAAGTCCTTGTATCCACAAATTGAATATGTTATGCACAGAAAGAAAAAAAACTGCGGTTTTCCCCTAGTCCTTGTTAATGTGTGTATGTCTGGAGAGGAGATCTTAAGAAACACGACAACACACACAATGCCGAGGTAAAGGACACCTTTAGTCACGTTTTCTATTCACTATTTGTCACTGCAATTGTTCTTGCTTGAGTGGGGAAGCTTGCCTTGTATTTTTTTTTCTCTTTTTCTTACAGTCCTCTTAGTTGTCCTTTGTTTTGTAACAAAGGATTTCAGAATTGCATTTGAATTACTTGTTATGTTGTTTTTTGTTCTCTTGCGATTTCTTATTCCTGGTTGAGGTCGGATTTCTGTTGTTGTTGTGGTTCTTGTTACTTTGTTTCTCTTTTATTAGCAATATTTTTATGTTATGGCAAAAAAAGAGGAGCGAGTATTTTTTAAGGATAATAAAAAATATTGTTTGTTCGTTATTTAAATTTTGAAATTTTCTTTAAATCGTTAAAATTCAGTTCTGAGGCTAAAGAAATTCTGTTGGTTTAGTGGTGGTCGTCTAAATTGCTTTTTGGTCAACAACTTTCAACACGCTTTTGAAATTTTCTATTATTTTTAATTTGTCGTTTTAATTTTGCTTTTGTATTATTATATTTTCGTTTTATTTATTTTTGATACTTTTTTTCTATTTTGTTATGGAATTTGTATTGAACCGAGTTATTATTATTTTTATTATTTGTTTTTTTTTTTCGTTTTATTTATGCGTTGCTGGAGCTGTTTGTTTTTGTATTCCGTTTCTTTGCCAGAAATAGAACCGTTCGTTAGCGCTGTTAAATGTAAACTAAACTCTGGCGTTTTTGTCTGCAACTGTTTACGATTTGTGTGTTTGGCTTTCCCCCAGCTTAGCAGCTGATGTTATTGTCGTGAAATGAAGCTTTTCACAGCGAAAGCTTTTAACAGTGGTTTTGTGTGGAGGTGTTAACAGAGCAATGGAGCTTGTGTTATTAACAGAGATTGGAAGCTATGTTAGCAAGGTTTTACAGTCGCAAAAGTGTACCGAGTTAATGGTCAGTAGTTTAAACGTTTTTTTTTTCACATTCTGCCATAAATATTAAATGCGTCATTTTGTTTTCTACATCTCGAAATATTCCTCTCAGTCGTCATAAAAAAACATACTTTTAATACCCTCCGGCATTTGGTACAAATTTGGCAATTTCCAAAAAAAAAAAAAAAATAAATAAATAAATAAAATCCCTTAAAAATTCTGTTAAAATCCTAAAAATACAAAATGAACATAAGACGACGTGGACCTGCATAGTCAACTTTTGTCATGAGTTATTACAATATTTAAATGCGAAACTTGAAGAAAAATCTGTTTATAATGGAGCTAAAATCATCAAAATACCGAATATAGGGAGGTACCGTTATATGGGGGCTTTACGAAGACGTGGACCTACACAGACAATTTTCTGGCATGGGCTGTAGTATCCATTACGAACTTCACATGAGAAATTTGAAACAATCCCGGTAAATAATGTCGCTAAAATCGTCAAAATACCGAATATCGAGGAGTACTGTTACATGAGGGCTATACGAAGACGTAGACCCATATGGCCCATTTTCTGTATTATGCTGTAGTATATATTACGAACTTCAAATACCAAATTTGGAACGATTCCGTTAAACAATGTCGCTAAAATCATCAGAATACCGAATATCGGGGGTACCGTTATATGGGGGCTATATGAAGACGTGGACCTACATGGCTCATTTTTTGACTTAGGATGTAGTATCCATTAGGAACTTTAAATTCCAAATTATAATCACTTTTGATTTTTTATGTTTTCGACATTATGTTTGAGTTCTCGGCAAGCAGGAAGTCTATTCTTGATATTGTTCAACTATTTAGCATTACTCGCACTACTTTCGGATTTACAGAATTTTGAATTACTAATCATTTTTTTATAATTTGACGATGGGAGAGAGAGGACATTTGACCTCATGTCAAAGGGTCATTGACCCCATGTCAAAAGGTCTTTGACCTATGTCAACATGTCATTAACCCCACGCAAAGACGTCATTGACCCAATGTTGCCAAAGGGTCAATTACACCTTGATATGGGGTCAATGACATTTTAACTTGGGATCAATGACATTTTGACATGGTGTCAAATGTCAGCTGTCACCTATCAAATGTCACCTGTCAGCTGTCATATGTCTTATTAAACTGTCATGTGACAGTTGACAGCTGACTTATGAGGTGACAGCTGAAATTTAACATTTTACAGCTGAAATTTCACATTTGACAGGTGACAGCAGTCATGTGACAGTTGACATATGACAGCTAACAGGTGGCATTTGACAGATGACAATGACATGGGGTCAATGATTTTTTGACATGAGGTCAATGACCTCTTGTAATGGGGTCAATGTTTTTTTGACATGGGGTCAATGTTCTTTTGACATGGAGTCAGTGACCTTATGACATGGGGTCAGTGACCTTTTGATATGGGGTCAATGACCTTTTGACAGGGGGTCAATGACCGCTTGACATGGGGTCAATGACATCTTGTCGTCGGGTCAATGACCCTTGAAATGGGGTCAATAACCTCTTGACATGGGGTCAATGACCTCTTGACATAGGCTCAATGACATTTTGACATGTGTTCAAATATCAGATGTCATATGTTAGCGTCACTTGTCAGCTGTCACATGACAGCTGTAAAATGTCAGTTGACATTTGACTCCATGTCAAAAGGTCATTGACTCCATGTCATTGACCGCATATCATGGGGTCAAAGACCGTTTGAAATGGGGTTAATGACCTCCTGACACAGGGTCAATTACCACTTGACATAGGGTAAGTGATCTCCTGTCATGGGGTCAGTGGTCTTTTGACTTGCGGTCAATGACCTTCTGACATTGAGTCAATGAATGTTTGACATGGGGCCAATGAGCTTCTGACTTGGAGTCAATGACTTTTTGACATGGGATCAATGACCTTTTGATATGGGATTAATGACCTTTTAACATGGGGTCAAATGTCAGCTGCCACCTGTCATGTGTGAAATGTCGGGACAGAATTTGGAAGAGTTTGGTTAAGGGTGAACGGATAAAGCTTGAATTTTGAAAATTGGAAAAGAGGTGCTTTTGGAAATATTTGCTACGTAAGGCACTAAATAGTACAATATTTGGTACATTTTGGTATTGGGTACATAGCCGTTTCGTCTGGTCATCGATTCTCAGTTAGTGAGTTATTTCACTATATTTTTATAAGCAAAGTGGAATTTTCTCAAGAAATGTGTAGTTTTTGGGGCTTGGACGCCTAGTCTTTAAACATTTTTTTTTAACAACATTAATTCTTTTAATAGAAGGATTTTTGGGATGAATCCTAGAGGAGGATTAGTCACGGGGTTTTTATACTTTATCAAAATAATTTTATAAAGACTTAAATGGAGGAATTTTTAAAAATATCGAGAGTTCTATAAATGATTCGCGTCGAGCTTTTTGTCGGCCTAATGAACATTTTTTGAAAATATACTATGTATTACTATTTTAATTTTTCAGTATACAAATGTTCGGAGTTTTGAAAAATATTTTTTTTTCTTAAAGAGCATATATGCATAGTAAAAAGATTCTCATATTTAAAATAAATATATATATATTTTTAATTTTTATTATTTATACCATTTCTGGGCATTCAACTAACAATAAACCGAATGTCAGTTACTTTTATTATTCTGCACTTGTAGACCATTAAATACCATTTTTTTTTTCTTTGACATTGATCCACAATTAAAAATGTTTAAACAATTTTGTTAATTATTTTATTTGCAGAAATAATAAAGAAGTCATAAAAACAATTTTGGAAAACGGAAGACTATTTCGTAACCCATGATTCCACGATTAAACAGATTTTACCTTCTATGGAGAATTGTTTAAATTAAAATGACTTAAATTGCGAGACCAAAAAGAACTTTCCATTACTCGTCGATGCCAACAACCAATACCGAAATAAAAGTTATTTACAAAAACCCAACACAAAAACTAGAATGTCACTTATATGTCAAAATAAAACGCCAACATAGGTACATCTGAGACGACGACGACGGCGACGACCTTAAATATATCAACTCGAATATTTAATGAATTATTGAACTTTAATGAATGTCTGAAGCAATGAGACATACAATAGCAACAACAAGAAAAACAAAACAATGACGTCCACTAAACCACCACACACAAATATCGCCACCAGATGACATCATTTGTATTTCGGTTCAGTTAAACGAGATGATGTATGACCCGATATTTAAAAGATGCAAAGGATTGTTGCATCCAATGCCTGGTGCTACATCTCGTGTCCATCACACATTCAAGTGTGACATCATCTCCCATTTATTGTTCCTATTTTAATTGGATAATTTTGATATTGTTTTCTTTTTCGATTGTTTTTTGTGGAATGGGAATTTAAAAATCACAACAAGCTGTCAATTGCATAGGACACAAGGCCATGGTCAAGTTGTGCGTTTTTCTTCATTGTTTCCAATTTAAATTTGATGAACTTCGGTAGTGTTGACAGTATTGATTTTTCATGAAAGACAATCACAAGACAGAACAAAAATCTTATAAAAAAACACTAAAGCGAGGATTCGTTCGGGCGAATGTAAAAAAATATTTTTTCAGGACAATCAAAGCAATAATCATGAGTTTAAGAGCATTAAATAAGCGGAATTCTTAAGAAAATTTGATTAGCGATGATAGATATAATCGTGTCCTATTTTTGGAATACAACCACAGATAATATTTAAAAAAAAAAACAAGTAAGCAAAGTCGTGCGGGGCCAACCATGTGATACCCTAGAACACTACAATATGTTACAAGCTCCTCTATGTCCAAGTCCATTTTGGAAGATATCGCTTTTAAAAT